GTTGTGACTTTTGTATTTGTGTTGTGGCTTTTGTATTTGTGTTCTGGCCTTTGTATTTGGCCTGACACCTCTGGGCCACCGTAGTTAACCATAGCTAATGTCAAGTATAACCCTTTTACTCTTGTTCTGATAGTTGTTGTGCTAATATTGTTCAATACAGTAGAGCCTCCAGCTTTGAATCCCACATGGAAATATCTCCTCTGGGAAATCAGCCTTATAGTCAGCAATTTCCCCAGGATAAATGACATGCACTCCATCACTTCACTGTGCCCGGTCTGCCAAGACACTTTCATTCACTATCACGATTGAGTTCATGACAACAAAGAGTATGAGACATTAATATTTATATAACGTAGTGTGTGCTCTACAGTCCAAGGTAAAAGCTATGGATTTAGACGATCACCTGGTGATGGGAGAAGAGGAAGCCTGTTGCAAATATATAAACAACATTTCTCTTAAATAAATTTAAAATTAAATGTAATAACATTTTATATTAATTTTATATTATATTATATTATTATTATATGTGTATACATACATGTACATACATACCCTATCCAATGTGAAAGATCATGAGGGGGTTAAAAGCTCTACAAAAATAAATAATTACCTTTAAAAAAACTGAATATACATTAATTATTGCCAAATTAACTTAATAAGTGACCCAGGAACAATAATTAGCTGTGGGCCCCATTTTGGCCCCCTGTTTTGGGGTGTTAAAGGAGTCAATTTTGACACAGAGTCCTGGGTTTTATTCTATATTGTAAACCCTAGTAGGCCCAGAAATTAAGTTTGTATGCAAGTATTTGTATTACATTTGTCACCACAACATAATTGAGAAAATTGAAACACTCATATTAGCAAATCATACAAAAAAAGATTTAGGAAAAGATATAGAATTTCTGCCATCTTCAGTACAGTATTATCTGCTGTGATTGTCTCTGCATTAATTAACACAAAGACATTTCTCTACTCACAATGTACCTCACTAACAATTACAGCAAAGGTGGCCTGTGCAGCTCCTCCAATAAAATCACCAATATCTCTTTCTTACTCATTCAGCCGTGCCAGTTATCACAAATTGGTTTCTTTTCTTCTTGGTTTGGCTTCGTCAATTACTTGATTAATGTATTAAAGCAGCTTTTGGATGTGACTCTGTGCTGGTGCCACCTGGTCATGAGGGCTGAGAGACAAACACAAAAGATGATCAATAGTCACGTGCTTGGCTACTTTCACACTGTTATTTAGAGGAGAGAGTAAGTGTTAGGCATTTATTTGTTTCCCCCAGGTGTCTGACTTTGAGCGTTAATTGTTCAGTTCTGTTTACGGGTGAAGTGTGGCGGTGACGTTTGTGCATATAAAGCAATGACAAGTGACGAAGATTTGTGAGCATTAAACATGTTCAGTGATGTAGAGCAATGTGCACTATATGCACACACATTACACACACACACTAGAAAAGAAACCAGACAACCATGTGATTTCTTAACATCTGTCTTTTTTCCCCATAATGAATGAATGTTGATTTTTTCTTTCTTCAGACATTTGCTCACTTCTAGGTTCATTAGGTCACACAAAGAAAGTTGCCACAGTAATAGCCTAAATTCTTTTAAATGCAGTAATTTTCACTGTAACAGTAATGTAGTTTGGCATGAAGACAGAAACGTGAAATGAGCTTGTAAAGAATTGTTCCTTTTCTTGCCACTTTGGTAAGGGGCATGCATATTTTAATACTGCAGACAGAGCAAATTTTATTTCTTCCAGCATAAAAGATAACGGCTACATAATAAAGTGGAAAGCTAACTTGCAGTAGATATCATTTGGCGATTGCTCTGCCTACAATGCTTATTGTGGCTTCCAAATATGAGGAGTGGTGATGGCAGCAGGACAGTTTGTTTTGTAGTAAGGAATAATGCAACATGTGCAGATGGTACACAGTACAGTACAGTATATGTTCCTCAGTTGAAAAGAAAACAGAATCTTCAAAATCCTGTGTATAGCAATTGTACAAAGCAAAATGAACAGGATGTGTGCCAACAAGAGATTAGTTATAAATCTAGGGCTGATGTCAATGGCCAAAATAAATATTACAACTGGTCCTTCAAATTATATGTAAAAAGTACGACATTACAAGTAAAAGTCATTCATTTAAAATCTTACTTAAGTAAAAGTACAGAAGTATTATCACCAAAATGTACTTAAAGTATCAAAAGTAAAAGCGAATTATATATATATATATCATATTTTACATTATAGATTATTAATACTAATTAATCAATGTGCAAGTAGCAGTAAGTGAAGCTAGTTTTAACTACCTTGTACAGTGATGTTCAGTAGTTTAGTGATTCCCAACCTAGGGGTCGGACCCCTCCAAAGCGTCACAAAATAAATTTGAGAGGTGAGACCATTAATGTGGTAGGAAAGAATTAAACATTTTGTACTTTTCTCAAATCTTAAATTAGATTAAAACGTGGATTTACTTGAACAGGTTCGTTAAGGAGTTCCCAACCACTTTGGCTTGTGACTTCAAAGAAGCTCCTTTTCACATCACATTAAAATCTGGTCAGATCTATACTTAAAATCTAGCTGTTCACTGGTGCCTTTAACTTGAACTTTTGTGTTTTTTTGCTTTGGTTTTGTCATTCACTATAGTCTCTATTGATTATTATTTTAATGCTGTCTTACTTTTTATTTATGCCTTTCGTGCAGAGTATGCTTAAGCTACTGTGTGCCATGTGATTACCTAAATTCTTGCTATTTACTATCCTCCTGTGGACAACAGTGTACACTGCAGGGTTTGGAATAGCAGAGGGTTTTCCACTTTATGACTCACTGTGCATATCTAGTCATGAAAATCACAATAAATAGGACAACTGAAGCCAATATTTTATTTGCATTTAATTTCAATATTGTCATTGGCAATATTTGTCCATTGAGCTGTGTTCATTTTACAATGGCAATATCTTTTGAGGACCAGTTCCAGTGGGTATTTCAGCCAATTTCTAGTGTTTATTTTTTCTCTTTTAGTCTTTAATTATCTGTCAGTCGTATAAGAAGCAAGTCCAGTTAGAAAGAAAAATTCTATTGTGCTTAATTAGATAGTGTGTTTGGTGTTTTACAGAAACTATTGCTTTATTTTTCCTCATCTTTTTTTTCCTCTTCTTTTGCCTCTTCTCCCATTCCTTCTTCATCTTTTGTCTCCTCGCCTTTTTCCTCTTCTTCCTTCTCTTTCATTTCTTCATCTTCCTTTTTCTCCTCTTCCACCACTTTCTCTTCCTTTTTCACCTCTTCTTCTTCATCATCCTCGTCTTCTACCTCCTCTCCTGTTAGTTCCTCTAGATCATGGATGCGATGTCTGAGAACTTTGTCAGATTTCTTATAATTTCCCAGAATCTTCTTCAGCTTGGATTGCATTAGCTCCATCGTGTAGTACAATTTATTGACCCTCTCTTCCAGCTCCTTGGCCTCAGGCATGATGTTAGCTGGGTCCAAGTCTATCAGACCATCTTTCATCAGGATCTGCCGGCCTTTTTCCTCTAGCATGCCTTTGGCATCCGGATACTCTACCAGTGACTCCATTAGGTCATCCTTGGACAGGCAGAAGAGGTCGGAGTATCCAATGCTGCGGATATTGGCTGTTCGCCGGTTGCCTGCTTTGCTGCCTTTAATATTAAGGATACTGATCTCACCAAAATAGCTGCCACTTCCCAGCACAACAAACTGTGTGACACCATCATCAGCAACCACTGCAAGTTTTCCATCTTTGATGATGTACATCTCACGGCCAATGTCGCCCTTTTTGCAGATATAGTCTCCGGGACTGAAGACTTGTGGCCGCAGCTTAAGCACCAGCTCAATCAGCAGGCCTGCTTCGCAGTCTGCAAAAATACGCACTTTCTTAAGCGTATCCATGTGGACTTGGATGGCGATCTCAGCTTTTAGCTTGTCTGGAAGATACCTCAACACTTCTCTTTCATCCTGTGCCTTGCCGTTATTCCACAGATAGTCAAACCACTTGATGACCCGCAACTCGAGATCCTTGCTGACCTTTCGGACCTATGAATAAAAGAATAAAAACATTAAAAAATATTCAAACAACAGATGATTGTGCTCATTCCTGTTCCAACTTTTTGAGTGGAAAAACTCCATCTACCTGCATGTACTGCTTGATGTTGTCAATCCGAGCCTGAAATTGAGCTTGGGCAGCATTCATATTGGAGATCATGGTAGCGATGTTTCCAACAATGGTGGCAAAGACCAAGACCCCAACTAAAAAATCAACCACGTGGAAGAAAAATTCTGAGTCCAAGGCTGGTGGTGGAGTTTCTCCAATGGTAGTTAGGGTCAGTGTGGACCAGTAGAGGCTAAACGCATACTTCCTCATGGGCTCCCCAAACGCAGGCTCATCAGGATCATCCAGAGCTGGGTAAACCCAGTCGTCAGCACCAAAACCAATGTATTTGGAGAAAGAGAAGAAGAAGCAAGCATTCCAGTGGATGATAATGAGGATGTACATGATCAAGTTTCCAATGCGGAAGATGTTGGGATAGTTGGTTTTAGTCTCTGTCTTTGTGAAGAACTCCATCAGGCGGCCAATTCTCAGCAGCTTATTGAGGCGAATCTCCGGATAGTCAAAGCCATAGTAGAAATAGAAGATATCGGTCGGAAGCATGGAGATAAAATCAAGACGAAACTGGAAGCTGTCGAGGTATCGATCCCTTAACAGTTTCTTATCTTTTATCATCAGGCCTTGCTCAAGGTAACCTGCATTCAAAGAGGTAGAAAGTTTAGAGATAAGTACAAGGTTTTTCTTCATGATTGAAACTACAATTTCCAGAGAAAGGTTGGAATTAAATGCCTTAAAAGTAAAAAAGTATTCCCTATTGTTATAATAACCCTTGATTACACACAGATGATCGCCATTCAATTTCAAATTCAAATTATTTTTCTCTTTTAGAAAGAGTTGGCTGTATTAGTGATGATTTAACCATGGGTTAGGCAGGGGTGTCAGTGTTCATGCAATTTAGTGTTTGTGCGTGTTGATAATTTTGACCAATTTAAAAAAAAAAAAAATTCTCACATTGTAATTAGTCTTTATTTTCTGTTGATCAGTGTCCCCAAAAAATTCTATCTACATCCATTGTGATTCACATTTGTAAAACAAAAATGAAACATGAAGTCCTAGACGAGTGAATACATTTTCATCTGCACTGTAAACTCATGTGTTTAAAATGCCTGAAGGACAGATTCACACTATTCACGTTGACTTTAAAACACTCACATGTCCATATGTACATTAAAACAGTTCTTGGTGGCTGTAATCATTTCGAGTCCATTGCGACGTAAGTGATGGGGGCCAAAATCCATAGTTCTTGTTAATGCAATTTCAATCTCAGCTGAAGCAAATATTTAGGATTTAGTCAAATAAAGTAGATATCTTCAAATTCTATAGTCTTTTTGGTTTTGGTGTATCACCAGAGAGTCATTCTTGTAGCTGTAGTGGAAGGACAATAGCACAAAGAAGGAATTGTGTGCTAGACTATACTATAACTTTGATCTAATTCGGACTGCTGAATCCTTATGATTGCTTCAGCTGAGTTCTAGAAAGCTTTTATCCACAGAAAAAGGACCATGGATTTTGTTCCCAATTACTTACATCGAAATCACATTTCACACACAGTATGAACATGAGGAACAACAGCATCTGCCAATAATGTGAGTGTTGTTTTAAGAGAGTCCTGGGGGAAAATGTGAATTTACGCTTTAGCAGATTTGCAGAAACCTTTCTGCAGATTAGAAGGCTCAGGTCAGATGTTCACCTGTTCTGGTCCTGAAAAACATATCGGCCAGGTACATCACATCTGAGGTGTAGTCCAGAACGATCCAGTAAAGGAAAAAGTTATGCTGCAGCTCCTCAAAGCAAGCCCTGTTTGTAGAAGAAGACCACCAGTAATGTTCTGTAAATTGTTTGTAAATAATGTTTCTCACTATTATAATTATTATTCTATCACTATTTTCTATTGTGCTACTGCTGCAGCCGATATGGTGCCAAACACACTAAATTAAAAAACTAAAAAAACACAAACTACAGCGTTCCCACAATTTCTTCCACCAGCTTTTGAAAGTAAAGACCAAGACTATTTCTCTGCACAAAGTCATCCTGCTGCTAACATTGCAATCATTTAGAATAGCTTCATATGGTCTAGGATATGAATGGAGCTGAATGCAATCATATGAACATTTGACCTGCAGGGAAATTGTACATTGTAAGAAAGAGTCACTGATTTATAGATGTCACCTGGCTATGATCATGGTCCAGTTGTACATTACTGGTAGTGTGATGATGAACAGCCAGTTGTAATACAAACTCCCAGCAGGATTAATGACAAATAATTCTTTGGCCCTATGGAAATAGAGAAAGAAAGTGTAAATTAAATATGTTTATTTGAAGAGGTGCCTTGAGGAATTTGCTCTGAATGATGCACTTACTTTTCCTTTTCCTTTTTTTCTTTTTCTTCCTTTTCCTTTTTTTCCTTTTCTTCTTTTTCCTTTCTTTCCTTTTCTTCCTTTTCTTCCTTTTCCTTTTTTTCCTTTTCTTCATTTTCCTTCTTCTCCTGCTCCTCCTTTCTGTAACATGCATCAAGACATTGGAGAATACTGAGAATCAAATATTTTTTTAAAAGCAACAATAACTAAAAGGGTTTGCATTATAACATAATTACTCTTTCTTCTCCTTTTTCTTTTTTTTCTTTTCCTCCCTGGAGGGAATTATTAATTACTACTTTAATAGGCCTTACTGAAATTACTTAAGATACATCAAAGGAAAACTGTGTTTTACAAGAGCTCCACTTATCTCTCCATGACTCCATAGTCATACTTACTCTTCATTATTATTGCTGTTATTCATATTGAGCAGAGCAGGGTCTGATTGAGGCGCAGTTCTAGGACAAACACAGAATGTTACATATGAAATTATTTAGCTGAATGTATTATTATTTCTCAGTAAACTCTCTGTTTAAATCAGCACTTTTGACTTACAGGTCATCTTCACTGTACTCCTCACTGTCAGCGACAAGTTGTGTTGCAGTGTGAGGTGGCACAGTGAGGTGGGGAAGGGTGGTTGAAGTGGTCATGGCAGCAGATCTGCAGTTTACCCTGCAAAGATAAGAAGAAGTAGAAAGATCGCCTAACTGAAGCAAGGGGAAAAGGAAAACAACCTCTTTTCAAACAGAACATAAAATCATTAGTTCGCATCTGCAGTATTTCTCCTTGGTCAAACATCTTAAATACTGCAAATTAGACATATGCAGTTGTGTGAAAAGAACTGGAAATCATTAATGCATTTGAAGTTGTCAAAAGAATGGATACAAACTGTATCATTTGACATTCATCGCTGCACAAACCCCACAAAACAGTTTAAAAATTGTAGTGATGATGCATGATCCTGTCTCCCTGTTCATGTACCTTACCTTATCCACTTGTTATTGTATCGTTAAGCCCATGTTCCCTGGATCCTTTGGTAGTTTTTTAAGATCTGAAAGCTGGTCACTCACAGCAGCCGCAGATGTATTGTATCAATCATTAGATTTTAATTAAGATAATATCAAAATGTAGCTAGACAAGTGTCACCTATAAGTGGTGAGTCTAACTAACTGTGTCATAGAGTCTCAGTGACCCTGATAAGGATTTGTGGATTAGAGTTGGCTGAGAAGAGGAGAGGCAAAGTCACTCATCCTCGTTATTTGTCCACTCTAGTAGGAGATGAGATATGTTGAAGTGAAGTTTGGGCAACTCTCCCCTAACCCCTTAGTGAGGATCCACAACACTGCAAAACATTTTGTGTTGACACCTCTTTTTTTATCTGTGACAGGCTATAATTTTCCTGACCATTTGCGGAACAGCAGAGGATTTAGTCTGTTTGCACACACACACACACACACACACAGACACACACGCACACGTACACGCACACACTCACACACGGTATCTCCTGCACAGTCAGCACTCTCAGCCATATCCAGCTCTGATCCTATTATATCGGGCCGGGTATTACAGACTTCAGATCAGTCGGATCAGGCACCGTTTACAAGAATACAAATCACGAGAGTGAAATTAAATCTGAACCTCTATCAGTGTTGAGTGCTGCGTTCTAATAGCAGATCTTCCTCCTGTGAGATATAGACATCCTGTGGTTCAGTGGCACTCCCTGTTGGCTGATATAGTGTTTGCAGTTTTACGGCTGAACTGAGGAACATCTCAGGTGCAATAAGTTTTGGCACCTGCAGTGGGTTACTATTTAAATTAATCCAGCATGGGAACAACAGGGAAGCTACACCTTCTTCACAATGGCATTTTATTGTATTGGATCTGTTTTGTGTGTTTGTGGTAATGGGAGCAACCTTTCACACTGAAAAGAAAGGAAAATAATGGACTTCACAGCTATAGCCTATGTATGTGTTAGATACCATGTGTTTTGTTTGATTTTTTTCACAGCAGACATACACAGCTGGCTCATGTAATGGCTTATTGGGATATTTCAATTGTGCTGAGCCATTCTTAATGTTGTAAGTAACACCTGTGCTTTTTCCCCAGACTGCAGAAAGATATATATTTTTATCTTGTGCACATAATCATATAGGGATCTTGTGTGCACAATCATGACTCAATCAACAGAATTGCAATTAAAGACAGAAAGAAGAACACAAAGAAGATTTTTAATTGTCCAATTCTGAACTGAAAACTTTACTTGTTTTGGTTTACAAAGAGCATTACAGATTTATTTTTCATATTTTCACATATTTTCTTTATATATTCAGTCTCTATTCAATATGCCACAGCTTTTTCATCCCTTTGTGCTGCTTCTACATCCCCCATTGCTGTTTTCCAGCTATTTATTCTAACTGCTAACAGAGGAGCACTTGTAAAAAAAGGTATTAAGAGGAACTACAGCACAGCAGGATCTGCTGCCACTCCAGTCGTGTCAATCTCAGCTGCCAGTGGGGCAGCACCAGCATCAACAGCAGCAGGGACATCGGCTGCGGCAGGGGCGGCCGCATCAACGGCCACCTCAGGGGCTGCTGGGGCAACGTCAACAGGAACCACATCAACAGGAGGCACATCCACAGCAGCAGCATCAACTGGTGCAGCATCAACAGGGGCGTCAACCACCGCCGGCTCGACAGCTGCTGCAGGGTCTGCCGCTGGCTCTGCTGGTGCTGCTTCAACCACAGCTGGTTCAGCCTCGGCAGCCTCCACCTCCTCGGCCTCCTCTACCTCGTCGGAGTTTAGGGGGACAGCAGGAGCGGCAGGTGCTGCAGCGTTGGGGGCAGGGTTTCCATCCTGTGCCAAGGAGATAGAAATAAAATGACTCAGAGTTGAAGTGCATACATTCCAGACACATTTGGTTAACCACTGAAACAGGAGATTACACATTACAGAAGGCTTTTGTACTAACTGGTGGTGTGGAGTTTGGGAGACATGGATATTTACTGGGCAGGAAGGGTCTAATGAAAGATGCCACTGGTTGCATTATAGGAAATGGAAGTGCCAGTGCTTGATCCATGAAATGGACCACTGGGCAACTTTATGGTAGTGCAACACTTACCTACCAAAATAATACATTTTTGGAAGTATACTTTTAAGATTATTATAAAGAATATATGAATGCAATGTCTTTCCCCAAAACAAACAAACAAAAAAAACTGGTGCAATTACAAAGGATTCACCTCATGTCTTTTGCTGAAATGTATTTTCAAATGAACACCTGACAAAACTATCAGGCCACTCTCAGCAGAGCATAATATCAAGGGCGCACAATACAATCAGCAGTGAAACAAGCACAGGTGTAAATAATACAATTAATGATGTCTGAATTCCATTTAGCTGCTTCTGCTCCTGGTATTGTGCATGCTGGTTCTTTGTCACACTGTGACTGCTTACTGACATACTTCAACACTGTATAACTGAGCTATTGTTAATGTTTTCAGTAACACCTGTGCTTTTCATATTAAGACAAATCAAAACATCTGCTGTGAAAGAATCTGAAAAGCGATCAACACATGAGGAGATTCTTATGCTTTTCTCACTGCTGTATTGATGCCTTTTTCCTGAGTTTGTTTTGGGTAAACAACACTGCAGGAATTTTATTAGGCAGAATTCCCGACTGAAATTCAGTGCGGGAGACATGCACTTGTTTACTTTTATGGATATGTTAGTGCTACTTTACTGCCTGTATTTTTACAATGTAAGGTAACAACATACACTATAAACTATTGAACTGGAATGGATTTTGGAACACATATCTCCCTCCATAGATCTACATTTATAGGTTATTTCTGTTATGTGTAAAGATGTCTGTTCACCTCTGTCTCCTCCTCTGATGCATCTCCAACAGCAATGGGAGCTGGAGGGGGGACATCAGCTGGCTGGGCTGGTGCAGCATCCACCTGCATAAATAAAACTCTTTTAACTCAAACAGCATGTTGAAATTGTGACAGCTTAGAAGTGGTGGTGCTGTATGTGTGCTTACCACTGCTGCCCCAGCTGGATCAGCCTAAACAAATGAATAATTCATGAATAAGTAATGCCAGAGTGTAGTTTATGTTAAAAGTTTTCATATAAACCTACAACTAAAGTCATGTTAGAGTCTAACAAGATATAAACTTACAGGGGCATCAGCAGCAGGGAGAAAGGGGTTTCCAACTATTCCCTGAAAAAATATAGATTCATGATTATAATTAATGATCAATTCCAAACAACTCAACGAGCAGATGATTCACATTTCTTTGTCCTTTTAGTTGTTTTGTTTTGTGGTGAAACAACAATGAACCCCCTCTACCTGCTGCTGGTACAGCCTGTACATCTCCATCCACCTCAGGGCCTCATTAGCATGCGCCGCAACCTGCTGATGGAATACCAGACATCTTCAGACATGCACTGCAATTAAGCCAATTATCCTCTCTCTCTCACATCTATCATACTGCATGTGTGTTTGATGACATGACAAAAACATGGTATGGCATGTCATGGCAGACAGACACAAAAACTTTTAAAGAAAACCAAAACTCTTACTTTTTCCTCATTGCTTTCACTCTCCGGAGCCTGCAAACCAAGCAAGAGTAATAAGAAAGCAACAAAGGCTTTACACATTTTCCCCCAGAAAAAAACAGTATAAAACATGTTTAAAATCTTTAAAAAGGGATTGTTTGGCAGGCTGAATGACACATTATGTTTAGGAAAGACTTACAGGAGCAGCCAAGGTAGTGACCAACAGACACATCATGAACACCAAGAGCTTCATCATGACTGTTTCTAGAGAAAAATATTTAAAGAAAATTGCTTCATTCTCTTTGTTAATAAAGGAAAACATTGTTCAAAAGAAGTACACTTCTTCTACAACAGTGGTTCCCAAAGTTTTTTATGTCGGTGACCCCCACATTAGATGCACATTATACCCCAATTTGAGAGGATTTTGTCATAGTGAATCCCCTCTATGTAATGGTTTCATTTTTAGGTCTGAAGATAAAATCTTCAGTCAATCAATGATCAAATTAGGATCATAAATTACAATCAACTCTGTCTTCCCTAAAGATTCCATCTTTTAAAAATTAAAATATGCGATTGCATTTCTTTTGCTGGGGACCCCCTAGAACACACTCAATGTCCCCCTAGAAGATATAATATCAGCAGGACTGTCTCTAACATAGTGGAAATTTGTTTCCATACTGTATGAAAAATCCATCTCACCTTCTTTCGTGGTGCAGAGAGAAACTGAAGATGTGTCTCCCCAGGGATGGAATGTAATCTACTTCATCTCTAACATGGATCCCATTTATATAGTGGAACATCCTGTGGCAGCCAATCACATCCAGTATAACACGCAGAGCTATGTGTTTGAAGAAATCTCCTTAAACCTCAAAAATGAAAAAAACCAGAGACATGTAGGGTGAAGGCCTCTTATAGTTAATTACATGCTGTGCAAGTATGCTTTGCACACATACCCCTCTCTTTATTGCCCTAACAAAAACTTCTGAGGGGGAAAAAAACAAGAAGACATGAAGCTGACATAAGAATGTAATAATAATGACACCACTTAGCTTCACTTGAAAGTAAAGTCAATAAGAAATAGTTTTTTGGTTAAGGCAGTTTAACACTGTAATAAATTGTATTTAGTACTATATATTTTAAAATTAAAATACTGACGATAGTGATAGGGAGGTCCACAAATGACACAAGAAATACTTTATTATTCCTCTCCACACACACCAGCTGAAGATCAATAGGAAATGATACTCAGTACTGAATAGTGAGTACAAGTACATTTACTACTGTGCTCAAGCACATATTTGAGATTATATTTACTTATGTTTTAGGGGAAATATTTTACATGCATTACTAAAAGTTACATATTTTAAACAGAAAGCATATAATAAGCTCACCAAATACAATGCTTTGTTTAAGATTTTTTTCTTAGGGCCCTGTGTCACGTCTGTAAGTCGTAAGCAGTTCCACCAAAGAAACATTTTCGCCAAAAACCTTCTCAGATGGTTTCATTTATTCAAATGTTTGGTCCCCAAAGTCGTAAAAGTATCTATTATTTCCCAGAAAAAAAGTTGGAGGATAGGCCAAAAAAGGAACACAGATGTGTGTAGCAGAACTTTAGTTTTTTCATATTTCTTACCCAATTAATTACGACCCCTCAGATTTATCTTGTGACCCTTTGGAAGGGGAATGGACTATTCTACCAGTAATAGTAAATAAAAAATGAACTCCACCTCAACCAGCTTCAGCAGTAAAATACTGCTTACACATTGTTGCTTCAATATTAACAATCTAATAATGTCACATATGGTCTTATATCACTCACAAGGGACATTTATCTGCAAAGATCACTTATACTTTTGATACTTTAAGGACATTTTGCTGATAATACTTCTGTACTTTTATGTAAGAAAGAGTTTCAATATTAGACTTTCATCTGCAAAGGAGTATTTTTGTACTAATACCTTTACTTAAGCAAAAAATGTGAAAACTTCCACAACTGCAGGTGAGTATTTTGTCATGTTTCCAATATGACCATCCAGGGCAAGTTTTCCAGACATCTACTAAACACTGCAATTTACAGTGTGTGTGCACATTGCCAGTGGGAAGTACTTCTTTTGTGGTGTCTGAGTTTTCACTGATCCCTGTTTGTTTTATATGGTGTGGTTGTACATCACAGCGATTTTGAACATTGTAGGTTTCTCATGTTTATTTTGTGTGGTTCCAAATCAGATAATGAAGGACTTAGGGCCTACTCTGTAATCTGCAAAACTGTATTATAGACATTCTTGCCTCAAACCTGCTGAGCTAAGGGGTTTTCACGACACATAAGATAACAATCTCTTCATTAGTCCTTCAAAACTTTTACTGGTTGTATCTTGGCACACAGTGACTTTTTTCTTTTGTTTGCTACATTGAAAAGCAGGGCAGTGAGAAGGGTAATGAGGTTATAAACTGAGTGCCAATAAGAATACCTAACTTCTGCCAACTTAAACAAATTATGCTTCGTTTCGCCAAAGAAACCGCAGTGCTGATATTTGATAAATAAATAAATAAAGATTTTTTTTTTTGCACTTACAGAATAGTATTTCTATCATATGTGTTGAATGATCAAACAACAAAGAAATCTTGAAGTATTATTTTCTTCTTAAAGTGTCACAAAGAGTCAAAATTGGGTGGGGGAAAATAAGAAATCACAACTTTATTGATCCTCAAGCAGCTGCTTGTTCTTTTGGTTAGAGTTTGGATTTAGAAACCTTCAAAGCAATACAATGCTATAATCTCCAGGTAAAATATCTAAAATAAAAGGTGTGATCAGGTGAAGCTTAACTTGCTCAGAGACTTGCCTAGGGACTAGACCTTCATTGGATTCTCTACTGTTAAGGCGAGACGCTGCCAAGTTCTCATTTCGGTACCAAAGCTGTCTATTAAAATAGTTGTGGACATTAAAGGCAACAAAGGCATCACAGCATGTGCTATCGCTTGTTAACATTACAGCAACACTCTCTCTACATAGCTCTGGCCGCTAACTAGTAGCTGCCTTAAACATGGTTAAAATGTAAAGCTAAATTGTAGTTTATGTTAAGTGTATTTCACTTAATTCAAACAAACACCGGGCAGAACGTGCAAAAGGGAAAGCATCTGGCAATGCATAAGACACGCTTGAAAGTAGAGAGAGTAGGTAGAGTGCTCGATTGTTCGTGTGACCCCATGCCAGCCAGTAGAGTGGGTGTCCCTGACCCCAGTGGGGCACATAGAACACTAGACATGACGCTTTTTACTGACTTGTCATATACACTGATCAGCCATAACATTGTGACCACCTGGGCACCCTGGTTTATGCAGCCCCATAAACAACAAACTGTGATGCATTGTGTGTTCTGACACCTTTCTATCAGAACCAGCATGAACTTTTTCAGCTACAATTTAACAAATGCTAAACTGCTAAATTATTTCTCAGCAAGCTTTAGTTTAGCTTTGATGTGATGCCAGGTTGGTATTTTTGGGGAAAGGGCGATCATTAAAGAGCGTCTTTTTTAATGCTAATGCGAAGCTAAACTAAAGCCTGCTGAGAAATAATTCAGCAGTTTAGCATTTGTTAAACGCTGGTCCACCTTGTACTTCTTATGCCTAGGCAAAGTAAAATGTGAAACTGACATGGTTCAGTAAAGGGCCCTCAGAGCAATCAGAGTTTTGGTGATAACAGGCTGTTGGATAAATAGGCATTTGGTCTAATGGGACATTTTTTGAGCTATCAGAGTTTTGGGATAATGGGCCATTGTGATTTGTGCTGATTGGTCACTCATTTGCTTTAGTTCAGACAGAAATATATTAACACCTACTGGATGAAATGCCATGTAATTTGGTTCAAAACCACACAGGTTCTGCTGACCTTCTTTTTTAACCACCCAGACCCACAGATGTTGCCTCTGCTTGTCATTTAATTGTCTGCTTATCATTACATTGTCTGATATGGCCTTTTTTTATTACACACACCCTCTTATACTGTGTTTGTGTGTTTGTACGTGACTTCATGACTTCACAGAAGTACTGTATGGTACAAAGGTCATCATATTGTTGCTGTGACAAGTAAAATTAAGGCTATTAAACCTGCTGTCAACATCTCCTCTTCTGTAGGTGAAGTTATGAATTTATGTGATCTTAGGTTCCAGCAAAGAGAACTTGTGAGGAAGAGGCAGTAATAGCGTGAGAGGATGGCGCCTGTGTGTTTTAGGCGTCTTTGAGGAGATAAGTGTTAAGTCATGTCGAGACAGGCTTTTGTCCCCAGGGGAGCGAGGATCAGGAAGATCTTTCCCTTTCCCTTTATGGTATTAATTTTTCTAAGACAGTTACATTTCACTGTGGAAAACTATGTTCACTGTGTGTTACAATTATCATGTACTGTAGCCTATGCAGTATTTAAGATATATACTGTATCTGTACTGTTGGTTTCCATGATTACTTTAGTCTTACATCACAAAACAGAGCCTTCTTACCTCTTACCTCTTACCTTTTTAATAATAACAAAAGTTTCTCTGTCATTTTGTTGTAGAAAGCTGGCTTTCTTCCCTTTCCCATGGTGTTCCACAGGGGTCGATCATAGACACTTTAATGATTTCCATTTCCATTGCTGATCATTATTCATAAACAGTTTATAACACATGCCCTTATTAATGTTTTGTACTAAAATCTTGCTGACAACAAATTATCTTGAGTTTTTTTATCAGATTTATCAATTATCAGAGTTTATACATTCAAGTGAAAATCAGATCCAGCCACCCCAATCCTCAACCTCCATATGCAGACTTTCTCTCTCGTTATACCACGTCACCTGACTTTAACAGCATATAATGCAGCATGGTGGGCACATCCAGAAATACTAGAGGGGTACTATACAGTGTGATAGTTTGAAGCGTATGGGGCCACTGACAGGTCTGCCAAAACACATTTTCGAATTCCTGAGGTCTAACAACTGTGTTGAATGCATTTCCTTCCTCATAAAACATTTGCAAAGCCAATTATTTTAAATTCAACATTGTTTATTGTTAATTATATCCATGTTTACTTGTTAGCAGTCCTCTTCTTTTTTGCCTTTTCTGGTGCTTTGCAGCATATGGTGGCATGTTACTGCTGTTAATCAATAGTCATGCATGTATAGCATACTTGACAATAAAGTTAAGTTGACTTGACTTGACTTGAATAGTAAGGGTCCACTAATGATCTTATTACTCATTTAATAAAGCCTGTGTTTGCGTATTAACTATCTTCTGGGCTTGATTTTTCAGATAACGTAGCTCAAGAATGCAATGTTGTTTGGCAGCCATCGCCCATAAACCACCTTTAAATCTTATTACAAAATTCACCATAAAGGATAGATTATCTCTATCAAGTATCTGCATGTTGAGTTTTGTACTATATAGATAAATGAATGGAACCCAATGGCTGTCTGGAAGGTCTGGAAAGAGTCACAGCAATTACAGTCACTCTTCGAATCAATCACTTTTTGAAAAAACACAGAGAAATCAAAAATTGCTTGAAGACTTAGACTTTAATTCTTAAGGGAAATTACATTTAAGGAAAAGTTAAAATGAGTTAATAAACATATGCAGTACATCTGTTATATACTGTGGAAATGCAGCATTACATAGTGCTTCATTAACACAATAATATTGGAAATCTATGAAGACTATAAAGTAAAGCACAAAATTATTTTCATTCTATGCAGGTATCATAATTTAGTTTACTAATGTAACAGTATTCTTAGAAATAAAAGTTTATTTTATGATCATCTTAGCATTTTGTTTTAACTTTAGCGAGCACATGTGTTGCAGAAACAGATTAAATTTGAATTAGTATTCACGTCCTTTGTTTCATTTGCAGATGCCTGAATGTTAAGGAGGAAGAAATATTGTTGCCTCTTTTTCATGCCTTCCATTCACTTTACACCTTCGCCGGCATCTGCAAAGACAAAAAGGCAATTTAAAACAATTGTTCTTCTTCCCACTGATGACATTTGCTAACATTCATATCAATAGTCATTTTCAATATGTGGATTCATTTGCAATACAGCTATTATTAAACTGTAATATATACTGTAAACTGATGAGTACCTGGCTTGTCTGTGTGGGCTGATCCTGTTGGAGCGGTTGCATGGGATCCTGGGATGGAAGAGGATTGGCATCAAATGAGGGAATCTGAAAAAAATAAAACTTCATGAGAGAACTGAGAGAAAAGTGAAGTCATACTCAGAAGCAATCAAATAAACATCTTCAAAGCACAATCAGATGATATATATATGATGTTTTCTTTTTCTCACATTTGGGATTTGTTGGGGAATATTTTGAGGTGGATAATCAAATGGGAGCACCTGGGAAAAGAGAAATACAAGTGTTGAGTGAAATATAATATATGTAAAATATGAAAAACAGTAAAAGGCATAATTTAGGACAAATAATGTCTCACATTTGTTATGTGAGGGACATTTGTCATAGGAGGAATATTTGTCATTATCTGGAAAAAAAAAAGCAGACACTCATTTAGTACTGTACCGTATAAAATGCAATGGAAATCATTTTTCTATTCACAATAGGCATTATAAAACTCAGTGTTTACAAAGGTTTACCGTTTGCTGGGAGAAGTCATAGGGGTAGTACTGCAAATGTAAAGAAAAAATAAATAAATAAACAAGGGCAAGATATCAACTAATCTTATTCTAACAAGTTGTTCATTGTATTAAGCATTGTTCTAGAAGCAATAATTGAGGTGTTTTGAGTCACAATAGGTGTAATCTAATAAGGGGTAAAATACAACAACACTTACGACTTCCACACTCTGTCTGCCTGGTGGCTGAGGAATGGAGTATTTGATGAAACCATGGGAGGAAAAGGGCTGCAGAATGTGAGAAAAAAAATCAATATGAGATTAGGTAATTTACGACATGTTTTTTAAGAGAAGATGCTTCTGTAAAATGTGTGTGTGTGTTTACCTGTGCAGGGTTTGCTCTGTGGGGATAAATCTTAAAAAAATCATCAGAAACATAAGTGTATGTTAAACATGTGTCATAATCACAGCAAGCGTTGCCTAAAAACATTATCAGAAAGTGAAATGAAAGCCTGCATATGAGAAAAGAAAGAGTCTGACATACCAGCTCCACACTGTAAGCACCAGGTAATGCAGGTAAGGCAGGTTGTGGTAGAGCCTGACCAGCTGTGAAGGGATTTTTCACCTGAAAGGATGAAAAATCGGCAAAATTGTCAAAAGGAAGCAAATTTCACATAGCAATATTTCCACTGTGCTTCTTCTGTATAAGAAGGTAACTTTATACTGTACGTTAATCATTTTTGCATAATAAAAACATCTGACACACAAGTTAAATAGCACACAATATCATTACCTGTGAGGGTGGTACCTGTTGTCTGGAACCTGCATAATGAGGCAGGTAATGAAAGAAGGACTGAAAATGAAGACAAAAACAAAAATAGTTAGATCAAATAAACATTCCCAGAAGTGAGAAAATGAAGTCATGTGAGCAAACTTTTTCTATTTTTAGAAACTTACAGGTGCAGCTGAGGCTGTGCTAGCCAAGCAGAGGCACAGGATGGCCAATTTCATTTTTGCTGATTATCCAAGTCCTATAAAGAATAAAAAAAATTCATCAGCCATACTGGATGGTTGGCGTTCTTTTAGAAAAGCATGCATGAACCTATGTTGAAGTTCTTCATCACTCACCTGCTGTGATAAAAACACTACTGGAGAGGATGATGAAAGTTGATGCTGGAGATGATGCCAGTTGTTCGTATCTTCCACAGATTTACCTTGTCTTTTATAGGGGACTAGCTCATCTGAGAGCCAATCACAGTCGATGGGAGTGATGTTTCCCAATGATTAGGTGCAGTACAGGTGTCTAGTCGTCAGCTTTACTAAATGACCAGTGGTAAAATCCACTTTCTGTGTAATAGCAGACTCTGTTTGATTACACTGTCTAGAGCAGAGCACGCCTTCACTCTGCTTGCTCATTCTCATTCTGCCATCAATACAGTTGCAGCATTGTGGCATTAACATTTGAAAATGCAATATAATGTCTATTACCTGTGTAAATGTAATATTAAATGTAATATTGTTGCTCACATGTTAATTGTGCTTGCAAATCATGACAGCAACAGAGCAGAGAAACGTAACAGAGACAATTATATCCAACTGAGGATAAAGGTAATGAATGTGCACATAGAAGATTGAATTAGACGTCTTTTCTTCTAATGAATTGCTCATTTAAACAGAATTAAAGTAGAGTTAAACGTTCTTCATGTATTAGCTTGAATAATCTTTGAATGTTGTTGTAACAATTCAACCTGTGGAGAATTAGTCAAAAGCAGATTCATAGAGTAACACTACAGAATTTTTTAATATCTTAAAAAATATAATCTCATTACAAAATACTTAATGTGATTCATGCTTTAATTTCGAAGGCACTACAATCAGATGCATGGAACCTTTGAAGTGCATTGCATATACTTGTTTTTATATTAAATATGTAATGTTATTGGAAGCAAACAACCAGAAGAGAATGGATGAGTTGTTTTTATTTATTACGAAGCACAGTTATAGCAAATTTGATTGGGGAAACAACAACGTGCAGTGACTCAAGACACTCATATTTCATTGCATAACGCCAGCTTTTATTTGAGACACAATACTTTGTCCCCTTTCTTTCAAGGAAAAGCATAGCACCATCTGCAGAGCACCATTTTCTTTTCAAAGGCATAGCATCATATCTTTCATACTTTAGGAAACAACAATGTTGGCTGGTCATCTCTCACCGGGGTAGGCTGCTGGTTTTATTGCATTGGTCACCTAAAGTGGGAAGTGAAGGAAATACATCTTAACTGTTGTGTTGATGACAAAACTTCCACATATGAAAAGACATTCAGTCACACAGAAAGACAATTTATGATCCCCAGATTTTGTTTCATAAATGATTTAGTTAAATCCTAAAAGTCGGATTTATGCAGTAATACAGTACACTCTGTATATGCATGTGTACCTGTCTATGCACAAGTGTGTGCACATCCTGCTGACTCTGATTTGTTTAGTCATCGTCATCATCATCATCATCTCCGCTGGGTTTGGCAGCCTGAAATGACAGAGGCTTCTGATGAGCCAATTAGGATTGAGGACTGTGTGCTGATGAGTCGATGTTTCTCAACACCTCAGCAGAAATAGTTGGAAGACTGTTTTTCTGACGCAATACTCATTTATTAGAATGAACCTGTTGCCCTCATCACCTCTGCAGTGCAAATCCTACATGCTGCTGTCATTGAAGGCTATTATGGTATTACAAATAAATAAAACCATTTTTATGGTCGACAGCTGACAGTGGCCAAGTTTTACTGATTCTTCAATAAACTTAAATGGCTCAAAATGCAAATCCATTGTCTTTCTTACAGGGGCACTGGCAGCAATGACAGGTACAACAGGGGCAGCTGGAGCAGCTGGAGCAGCTGGAGCCACAGGAGCTGCAGGAGCTGCTGGTGCAATAGGAGCAGCCGGGGCTGCTGCTGCAGGAACAATGGGATCGGCAACAGGGGCAGCAGCGGCAGGAGCGGCAGGAGCTGCTGGATCAAAACCAAAGGGGTAGAACTGGAGCAGGTGAGAAAAAAAGTACAAAGAAATAATTAGTTAAATAAAATCCCACACAACCTCTCTCAAAGAAATAAAAATCCTAAGGCACTTACCACCTCCTTGGTCTCTCTACCGTTTGGCTGGGGGATTTCTTGCTTGATGAAGCCACGGACCTTCCAGTAAAACAAAAACATGCAGGCACACACACATGCACTTAAATACTACAGTGCATCTGGTGTAATGTAGTAATACTGTTAATTATCTTACATTCAGATGGTAGCACAGGCTTTCATTGCATCTTAAACTCTTTGTATTCATTTTCTGCTAAGGAATACACACACAAATCAAGCAATATGGTGTCACTTACAGGTCCTCCAAGAGGCTGTCTCTGGGCATCAACTGGGAGCAGCTAGAAATGAAAACAGTCAAGATTATCATTCAAAAAAGTGATTATTAGATTAAAATATGTTTTGAAAAGGGAATAAATAGTATAAATTAGCTCTTACAACTTCCAGAGATCCAGCTGGGACTCCAGCAGGAATAGCCTGGGCTGCCTGTGAAGATCAGATTAATCATTTTGACCTTAAATGAGTATAGATTATGATGAAAAAAAGCGGCAAACAAGTACCAAGAGCATTCAGCTAGAGAGATGTTACCATCAGTGGTGAACACATAATAACAGACCTGTGTGCACAGCTTATTTAGAGATGTTTGAAAAAGTGTGTCTTTTACTGTGGTTTTTGTGTGTCATGATCCACCAGTTGTTCTGCGCTGCATCTTACTTTACCTCAACCGGAGCATGATGGATGTCAAACTCCATGTACATCTGCGGCTATAGAGAAGAGAAAATACTGAAGAATCAATGGAATGCAGGTCAGTGTAGAATCAATAATGTAGACAAACTTTTATTGGTAAATATTCACTGATAACATTGGGAATAACCAAAATGCAAATCTTTAAAGTGCTCAATAAAAGTGGAACTTTGGATTTAAATTTTCAGCACATTTGAGCATCTGTTTCTAAAAGTTATGTGATATGACCAGAAGCTCCAAAACAGCTACATGAAGCTTCAGGTAAGATTGTTTTGTCAAATATTTACAGTATGCAGAGCTAAAGTATACATCAAGAGAAATGAGTAGGATAAATATTTTAGAAATAAAAATGTGTTTTCCTTACAGGGGCACAGAAAGCCATCCCAAGGATGCAGGCAGCAAGCAGGATTAATTTCATCTTGAATGAAGCTGTCAAAGAGATTGGGTTATTAGACTTGATAATATTCAATGTATTACTTGAAACAGCATTTAAGTAAGTCATTATTTAAAATTTTCTTTAGGAATTCAAATGATATTAGTTAGTCTACATTACCTTTCCTTTCTGGTAGCACACGAGTACTGAAGGATTGAGGAGGGGTGTGAATACTGGAGAGAGATTTGCTCCTATTTATTTGCTGACAGAACATAGGACGAGCAGACCTGTGACAGGTATTGGCGTTCAGCCAAGGATTTTCATTTTTATTGGCAGCTATATCTCTGCGAGAAATCTCGTAATACATTTTTGGCTTGAAAGGCACATTAATCACATTTGATCCCTCACTGATGTGTTTGATCAGGTGCCCCCTTGCAACATCTTTTACACCCAAAATATGTGCACATGAATAGGGGTCAAATTTATAAGAGAAGCTTTTGAAATTAACATTATACTGTAACTATAATAAATGTATTTATTTAGGTAGTCATTCTAAAATAGGCCTCTTGTATAACTTCTGTAATAGGAAGTATACTGTTGATATATACTGATGATGAATATTTTTATAACATTTATAATACATATTGTGAGAATACTCTCACAATATCTCACTCTCAATATCATATCTCACTCCACCATATCTCTCCCTGTTTGCATGTCCACAAGTGCATGAAGTGTGCATTTCA